ATTTAGACAGTGCTATATATAAAAGTGGTGCGACCATCTCTTTAAAATCTAAAGAACATTCGAAAAGTCAAATAATTGTCGGTAAATAGTATAATTAAATCGTCATCATATTAAGTAATTAAATTATGACGAATCTATTAACTTATTTTTATTATTTAGATGAAAGTAGAAAAAATACCAATTTATGTTATATTGAATCCATCAATGATGGTAAGTGAAAGATATCAAGTAAACAATAATTTAAATATAACGACAAAACTAATTAATTATTTAATAGGTTATACTTCTAAAACTATTGATTTTGATATTTAATAATAAAGATTTTTATCCATCGATAAATCACGTTTTAATTTATATACAAGTACATTTTAGTTATGGTTCCATGATTTAAAGGAAAATATGAAAAGCAAGTAGATTCGAAAGAAAGAAACCTAGCTTCAAGAAAAATCAAGTTCCAAGAATCAATTATTATTTATGTTTAATATTAATATAAGGTTAACAATTCAGGCGGCTTACTAAGATATTTAAAATTACAAACAACTGTTTCCTGCGGTTATACACAAATAATTAGCTTACCATCTATATAAATTCCTTATAAGTTATTCAGTGAACAATGCACAAACTCCATATCTACTCTCAGCTACGAAATACTCTGATGACTACCTTATCTAATTCGCTAATATAAACATTTTATATTTATTGGTATATTTATACTTTGTGATGTAATAAACATTCAAATTCATTTTTTAAAAAAAATTCGCACGCGCATAAGTTATTAGAATGCATAAATCAGAATTTGCATCAAAATGACTATCGAAAAATCTTGATTTAAAATTGAAAATATAACAATTCACAGCGAAGTATATTCAGAATTCGAAAAGTCGGAAAGAGGATATTTGTCGAAATGTAACCAACACGAAACAAAAATTCTATGTAAAATTACTAAAATCATTTGCTAATAATGAAGGCGTATGGTTATTGATTATGACAATTTCTTTCGATAACATCTTAAAAGATAAATAGACATAATATTTAGACTAATTATAAAAAATAGAATAATAAATATGTAATCTTTCACCCCTGCCCAACTCAATGAAATTGATATTGAGGATTTGGCCCCACAATTCGTTATGCAAACGATATTACGATAGATTGAATTTATTATGCATATTAAGTAACCGTTATTTGTTTTTTTTAACATTTGACCAATAAAGAATATACTATTTACAAGAAATTATTAAGATTTTTTTAAAGAATAAATAAATGTGCGAAAAAAAATTGCTAAAAATTTATTACCAATTGTTATTTTTAACATGCATATTGAATTGAAATTATAATTAACAAGTGATTGCTGAAACCTCCGATTTACTGCTGCTAGCATGTGACCTTCATGTGACCATAAGATCACGTGCATGTAGCGTTTTTCGTTAGCTATTACTTAATTACTTTATTTATTTTTTTTTGTTTCTGTTTGGCTTTTTTTCGTTTTTCTTAATATAATTATAAACCTTAAAAAAAATCGAATAAATAAAATCACTTCATATCGGCTATAATGAAGCGATTAAATTTATATATTTTTTTTTCATTAATAAGAATAGCATAAAATTGTAAATCCAAAACGTTTGCCACATGATTTATAAAATTTACGGTTCCAAAAAAAAAAATAAAATAAAATTACCCGAAAAATAACAATGAAATCAAAAATAATGAACCAAAATCAAGTATTAAAGGGTAAAGAACCAAAATTCAACATTACAGTCAGCTTCTGAGTTTTAGGTTCCTTATTCTTCCTGAACAGTATAAAAAATATCCCAATATCCAATTGCCGCAGTAAAATCACGAAGTTATTCTTGCTGCAGCAGTAAAAATATTAGGCACAGTATTACTTACATTATATAAAAAAAATAAATATTTTTAAATTTTTATCTAACGATTTTCATACTATCTAATAAATAATTTATATGACACTGTGCCTGAGATGATGTCAATTGAAATTTGTATTCAGATTATGCAAAGCTTTTGAACGCCACTGTATAGTTCAAATAAGAATGGTCTGTCACATGGAACATTCCTAGTTTTTTATACAAAAAAGAGATAAAAATTTTTTGCATAAAAAAAGTAATTTTAAAGACTTGAAAGTCAAATTGTTTAAGCTGGTTTAATTTAAATGGCAAAAAATGACACTGAAGACATACATATAAAGCGCAAAGCTAATAACCAGAATGGTGAAAATAACACTAAACCAATATTTTTTTCAAAAAAAAAGCGGCGTTAAATATAGCTTATAAGGAAAATAATTTATTAGAGATCGCAGACAGTGAGAATATAAGTCATACTTTTAAAATAAAGTTAGTCATCCTAACTTTATTTCTGGCCGGCACTATAAATAAGTCGGATGTTCTCGAAATTGCTTGTTTCAAAAATGATTGTGAAGAACAAGACAATAATAATTGGGAAATAGGTGAAATAATTAGAATTAATGAAACACTTTAATTTAGATTCATTTTTTTTTATTTCTATAAATATAACGATATATTTCTAATAATTAATAAAGTGATTTTTTTAGAACATTAAGCATGCTTGCTTATTAGTATTTATAAATTTAGCTTTTATATAATTAATATCAATGGTTTTCACCCGTCAAAAATTTTGCCACCCGTTGAACTTTTGCCACCCGTCGAAACTTTCGTGATTTTGCCTTTAAAAAAAAAATTTGGCAAACGTCAAAACTAGTTTCGATTTTGCCGCCCGTCGAAACCTCAGTGATTTGACAGGCAACATTAACTTACCATCTTCAACTAAATCACCTTTTGCTTTGGTAAATATATTTTTAAGCACTTTTATCGTTACAGTTGAAAATTTTGTAAATTTAATAAAAAGTTTTCAATTAAATTTTTATTGTTATTAAGTCTTTTATGCAAATGTCGATCATTTTTCGAAATACTAATAATCAACCATCCCGGAGGCATTGCCAATACTCAAATCGTAAAAATAAAAATAAAAAAATAAAATAGAGCAAAGAAAGACTCATCTCATATAATTCAACCCGAAGAATAATCTAAAGGGCACAACCTCGAACGCTGCGCCCAAATCGGGGCAGAATCCCAACAGCCTTGGAGAAAGAAAACCCTCTTTTCATTATAAACTACCATATTTAGGTTATGCTTATTATGCAAGCAAAGAATAGATATAAGTAACACTTTTTTCGAATACTAAGTATATCACAAACTTTTAAATGCCTTTATCTAATTGTTTGAATTATATAAATATTTTTTTTTGAATTATCATATATTAAATGTCAAATAATATTTTCATTTAAAATGCTTTTGCTTATTACTTGGGTGGTGATTTTAAAGAAGGGTTTTTCGCCTGATATCATCCCTGCAAAGCATTTTTTTTTAATGGAGCAAAATCATTTAGTAATATACAATAAAGCGCAATGAAGCCATTATATCATGAAAGAATTTTTGTTTATTTACAAAATTTTGCCATTTATGTATTGGATATCATTGATTTTCACGGCTGCGCCGTGAAAATATCAATGATATCCATGTGATCACCGTGGAATAACTTTTTTATCTCCTGGGGACTAACGCCTGTGATGAAAATTTTTAATTTATTAATAGTTTATTCTATGAAAAGTTTATTTCATTACAAAACGTTTATTTTGCTATAAAATTCCCATACTTCTTTCTCCCTTTTTTTACTCCTCTTTTGAAAACAAAAAATTAAAATGCCTCAAAAACGCGCCAATAAAGAACAGAGACTTCACAAAACTTTTAACCCTGTCTTCACTAATGCAAGTACTTTCTATTATTCTCAAAAGATACCAGAGATTACAACTTCTATTCAAGATATTTTGAATCCTTTTTCCTCTCCACAAATATCTGAAATTCAAGAGAAGCTTAATTTTTATCGTCAAAAAGCTATGGTACCTAATACTGAAAGATCAACTCAAAATTGGGTTGCTAAATTTGAAGAATTTCAAAAGTTGCAATTATACTACATCATTTGAGGAGATTACAGATTTCAAATTGATTGAACAACAAGTTTTTGAATATATTGCACAAATGACTAAAAAAACATCTGGTGAATATAAAGCAAATTCAATAAAACAAGCTGTTGATGCTATTAATCATCATTTGGTAAAAGTTTCTCCAATACGTGAAATTAATTCACATGATAAATATGAGTTTTCAGATTTATTTACTGTTTTATATGGCAAAATGAAAGATTTGCAAGAAAAAGGATTTGGTGAAAAAGAGGGATCAATAGTGTTGACTGTACAGCAAATTCAAGAAATTCTTGCTGATGACTTTTTTAATCCTAACATCCTGAAGGTCTTTTATCATGTATTTTTTCGAATTGCAACTAACTTTGCATTTCATGGTAATGAACATTATAATCTTCATGTAGATCAATTTCAATTTCTATCTAATAGTAGTTTGCTTTTTTGCCATTATCGTAGCAAAAACAATTAGCACAGAATTAAAGAAGGAGCTGCACAGAATATTCATCTTCCTCTAAATTCAGAATTAGCTAATAATATTAAAAATATTTGTCTAAACATCCTAATAATGCTTCTAAAAATTTCTATTTACATATTAATCCACTTTGATGTAAAACTGGTATTTGGTATAAATAAACGCATTATGAAAGTAATACACTTCCTACCCAAAAGTATTAGACACATAAAAATTTTTATAAAATATCAAATTTTTTTTTATCTACAGTTTTTATTAAACTCAAATAAATAAATATAATA